TTTCAAAGGAAGACATTCATTTTTTCTTTGTTTCTCTTGCCCTAGGCGATGTATCAGTAAAAATTCTGCTATGTGTCATGTCTGAGATTTTTCTGCCTACATTTTCTTTTAGGATTTTTATGGTTTCACATTTATGTCTTACATTTATGTCTTTTATCCATTTTGAGTTTATTCTTGTGTATGTCATAAGTTGGTGATCTAGTTGCACTTTTTGCATGTACTTGTCCAATTTACCAACATCATTTTTGAAGAGGTTGTTTTTATTTCACTGTATGCTCTTGTCTATTTGTCAAATATAAACTGAACATAAAGGTGCTTGTTGATTTCTAGGTTTTCTGTTCTGTTCTATTGATTTATATGCCTCTTCTTGTGCCAGTACCAGGTTGTTTTGATTACAGTGCACTGTATTATAGTTTGATATCTAGTATTGTGATCCCTCCAACTTTGTTCTTCTTTCCCAAGTTTGTTGAGGGTTTGGGGGGGTCTTTTTTGGTTTCATACAAATTTTTGAAATATTTGTGCTAGATCTGTGAAATATTCCATAGGCATTTTGATAGGAATTGCATTGAATCTATAGGTTGCTTTGGGTACTATGGACATTTTAATGATGTTAATTCTTCCAATCCATGAACACTGCATATGCTTTCATTTGTTTGTATCTTTCTCTGTTTCTCTTTTCAATGTCCTGTGGTTTTCCAAATACATGTCTTTTACCTTCTTGGTTAAGTTTCTTACTAGGTACCTTATTTTTTTGTTGTTGTTGCAGTAGTAAACGGGGTTGTTTTCTTAGTTTCTCTTTCTGAGAATTTGTTATTGGTGAATAAAAATGCCACCAATTTCTGGATATTAATTTTGTATTCTGCTACTTTGCAAAATTCACTTATTATACCTAGTAGTATTTTGGTGGAGTCTTTACATTTTTCTATGTACAATATCTTAGCATCTGTGATTAATAATACTTTTACTTCTTCCTTTTCAATATGGATGCCTTTTATTTCCTCTTTTTGTCTGATCGCTGTGGCTAGGATTTCCAGCACTATGTTGCATAAAAGTGGTTTAAATGGACATCCTTGTCTTGTTCCTGATCTGAAGGGAAATGCTTTTATTTTTGCCCATTATATATGATATTGGCTATAGATTTTTCATATATGGCCTTTATATTGTTCACGTATGATCCCTCTATTTTCATCTTGCTGAGAGTTTTTATCAAAATTGTGTGCTGGCTTTTATCAAATGGTTTTTCATCATCTATTGATACGATTGTGACATTTTTGTCTTTCATTTTGTTTATGTGATGCACCACATTTATTGATTTGCATCCCTGGAATAAATTCTACTTGGTCATGGTGTATAATCTTTTTAATGTATTGCTGGATCCAATTTGCTAACATTTTATTGAGGATTTTAGCATTTATATTCATAAGGGACATTGGCCTATAATTTTCTTTCTTTGTAGTGTCTTTATCTGGTTTTGGAATTAGAATAAAGTTGGCCTCATAAAAAGTGCTTGGAAGTCTTCCTTCCTCTTGAATTATTTGGAATAGTTTGTGGAGGATAGATATTGGTTCCTCTTTGAATGTTTGGTAAAATGCACCTGTGTAGGAATCTGGTTCAGGACTTTTGTTTGCTGGGAGTTTATTTTTATTACTAATTCAATTTCATTAATTGATATCAGTCTGTTCAGGTTTTTTTATTCTTCTTGATTCAGTTTGGGAAGGTTGTATTTTTCTACAAATTTGTCCATTTCACCCAGATTGTCCAATTCACAGTATTTTCTTACAATCCTTTTTATTTCTGTGATGTCAGTTGTTACTTCATGTCTTTAATTTCTGATTCTTTTTGTATGGATCCTTTCTCTTTGTTCTTAGTGGGCCTGGCTAAAGGTTCATCAATCTTGTTTATCTTTTCAAAGAACCAGCTCTTGGTTTCACTTACCTTTTTGTTGTTATTGTTGTTGTTATTATTATCTCTAGGTCATTTATTTTCAATCGATCTTTACTATTTCCTTCTACTTACTCTGGGACTTTCTTGTTCTTTTTTCTAGTTAGACTCTTTGTGCTTCCTGAACTTGTGTGACTTTTTTCTTCACTAGGTGAGAAAAGTTTTCTGGCATGATTTCTTCAAACTGGTTTTTTATTCGTTATTCACTTTCTTCTTCCTCTGGTGCCCATGTGATGTGGATATTGTTCCATTTCTAGTTGTCCCAATGTTCCCTTAAACTATCCTTTTTAATTTTTTTTTTCTTTTGTTGCTCTGATTGAATGTTTTCTTCTACTTTGTCTTCCAAATCATTGATTTGATCCTCTGTTTCATCCAGCCTATTTTTAATTTCTTCCAATGTTTTCTTGATGTCAGATATGGTAATGTTCACTTCTGACTGGTTCTTATTCATAGTTTCTTTATTCTTTTTTTTTTTTTTTGCTGATGTAATGCCCACTAAGTTCCTTGTAGTTCTCACTAAGTTCCTTGAGAATCTTTATAACCATTACTCTGAACTCTTTGTTTGATAAATTGCTTGCCTCCACTTCATTTAACTCTTTTTCTGGAGATTCTCCCTTTTCTTTCATTTGGGGGATGCTTCTTTGTCTTCCCATTTTAGCTGTCTCTTTGTGTATGTATGTATTATTTAGAACTGCTATGACTAACGTTTTAGCAAGGAGGCCTTATGTATTAAATGTCCTGTGGGTCCCAGTGGTACAGTCTTTTTGATCTCTTGTATTTGATGCTCTAGGAATGTCCCTTTTGTAGGTTATTTGTGCTCTCTTACTGTAATTGGGTCTTGATTATTGTTGTCCCATTTATGGGTGGGTTCTCCCCTTGGCTGGCTGACTGTGAGGTTCAGCCCCAAGCACAGCATGTGAACTGTTGTATAAACATAATAAAAGAAGGAAAAAATATGATAATTAAAAAAAGGGGAGGCAAAAAAATGATCATAAAGAAGAGAAAGAAAGAAAAAAAGTTAGAATAAAGAATAGGGAAAGAAAACAGTAACAAAAAAGAAAAGAGGAAGAAAAAAATTATGAAAAACGAGAAAGAAGATAAAGTTAAGAGAAAAGAAATGAAAGCATTAGAAAGAAGAAAAAATATAGTAAGAAAAGAGAAAAATAAAAGGTATAAAGAAAAAGAGAAAATGATAAAGCAATAAAAAAAGTAATGAGAAAAATACAAACCACAAAGTGGAGGTTGGCTCATCAGAGTTTAATGCCATCTGGGATCTCCCTTTGGATCCTGCTCTTATGGTGACATAGGCTGACTATTTTGTATGCTGATTTTAGGCCTCCAGCGAGGTACTCTGGTATTAATTATATCAGAAACTCTCTATGCTAGGCTCTCGGCAACCTGTTTGAAGCTTCTAATGATTCACAGTTTGTGGCTGCCTCCACTTTGTTTGCGTGTATACAGGAGGGTCTAAGCTGGGCTCTAAGGCTGGCTTATTAGGAGCATAGGGTGCACCGGTGGGTTAGCAAATCTCCCAAGGAAACTTAGGAACTGCCTCTACCTGCCTCCACCTGTAGGCCAGTTTTCAGGCTTAGTCACTGAAAAAGCTGTTTCTGAAAGGGCTTTGGGTGGAGTCAGGAGGACTGGCCCTCTGGGTCTCCAGTGGTGCCATACAGGTCTCAAGGAAGATGGTGGGTGTGTTCCCCCATTCCAGAGCCACACATCTGAGTCTGCCCAGAATATTTTCCTTACTTTGACAGGAAGGAGCTCCTTGTAGGTAGTCTGGTGGTGTCTATAAGAAGCTGGAAGCTTCTATCAGCTCTTCCATCAGGTCCCTGGCAAAGTGGGGGAAATGGCCCTGCCCTAAATCCTGTCACTGACACCCTCTGAGACAACCTAGAGATGTAAGTTTAACCTCTGCTGCTGCTTTCTTAGCAAGGTTCTAGATTTAGGGTGGAACAAGTGGGATTCCTGAGGGTGAGGCAAGCTGTGTCCTCCATGGCTGGGAAATTGCCTTTTCCCAGGCTGCTGCTACTGGGAGAGGCGCGCCTCTCAGATAAGATAAATTCTCTGGTGCCTTGAGGAGCATGATTGAAGGCAGGTATCCCAGCACCTGCTGTTCCATGCTCCTGAATGCCTCCCACCTCTGACTCTCCTCAGGTGATTCCAGTCTGAACAGCCCTCCCTGCCCCAAAGTCCAGGGTGAGTGATTGCTAATGACAATTCTGTGCTCTTTTTTATTATTTTTTTTAAGTGACTTTGTCTCTGGCAGATTCCGTCTTTCTCTCGTGGATAGAAGCCTTGCTGCCTTTCATGATTGGTGGGCCGCAGTTCCCAGTTCTGGGGTCCAGTTCTCACTCTTCTCACAGGAAACCAATTTACAGTTTGGAAACTGGGTGAATAAGAAAGGGAATCAAGAGTTTATTCTGCTTTTTCTGTATGAACTGTACCACAGAATAACCAAATGGTGGATGAAGGGAAATGTCTGCTATAAAATTATTTCCTGCTATAAATCAAAATGATAGAATTTAATGCTATCATGTTTCAACCTACAAGCTGATTACCAATGGCTACTAATATCACAAGAAGAGAGAAAGTAGACATTATGTGCCTCCTATTGTCTTGCCAATCAGATTGAGTTTGTCTCTGGATTCAGTTGCTCATATGCAGGAAATACAGAGGATGAAAATGTTGAATTGAACCATGAGTATGTGATCAGCAAAAACAGGCTGTGGGATACTCTCTGGAATAAAGTTAATACTTAAAAGAAAAATGGTGAACAAGACAAGGATTCATACTTGGGTGATAAAATCCAAAGGGCATGTAAGAAAGTGATTACAAGGAAAGTTTGGATAGCGTTCTTTTTGAGGGGAGGATGGGGACTATAATTGGGATGGAACACATGAAGGACTTTCCGGTGTATTTGAAAAAGTTTTATTCAATCTTAAAACTTTAAACATTAATACTTAGAAAAATATAGGCTAAAATATGCATATTTTTAACACACGAAAGTAACCACAAGAATAACCAAAAGTTGAATGTGTTCTTTCCAATTCACTAAAAAGCAAAACTATACGGGCGCTGTGCAGCGAGGCCCCGTGCTGGCAGCAGGGTCTGGGAGCGGATCCTCCGGGACCCGTGCTCAGAAGTGATGAAGTGATTGGATAGATGAGGCCGGGCTTGTCCCGGGCCGCTGATTATTGAGGCGAATCTGATGTGAGCCCAGGAAAAAAAGCAAAAACAAACAAACAAACAAAAAAGCGAATAAAACTACATAGTTTTTAAAATGAAATATAAGACAGAAAGAAAGAGTAGAAATAAATAATAATATGAGATAGCATAAAGTGAGAATACAGATGACCAAACATAAGTTTTTACATAAATTTATTGACATCCCATGTTAACAGAAGATGATAATTTTAGGTCAATGCACAAAACTGTATCTTGTGCTGTTTTTAACAAACACACTGTATTTAGGGTTCTCCAGAAAAACAAGACTGACAGAAGATTTTATATATATATATATAAATGTAATATTAACTTATTATAATGATCATATATCAAATTATAATATATTAAATATATTATAATATATTAAACTTGTAAATATAAGTTATATCAGAATATTATATATTAAATATAATATTAGAATAGAATTTAAGCAAAAATATACCAGAGATGAAGTTGTTATTTAATAGTAAAATAAATAACTTACTAGTAATATATCAAATTTTTAATCTGTAGGCATATAAACATTGGGCTTCAATATGGAAAAAAATTATAAGAAGAAATTGACTATCCAAAATTATAGCAAGATATTTTAATATATGTCTTTCAATAAATAGTAAACAAAATCTAGTCAGGATATAGAAGATCTGAAAATATTATCAAGTCAGTTCCTATGGACATATATAGAAAGCTGGGATACACATTATTTCAAAACACATGAAAACATTTAGAAATTTTTATTTACTTTTAGACCATGAGCATAATCTCAATTATTAAATAATTAATTGAATTAAAACAATATTTTTCATTGTGTAATAAAGTTAAAAATCAATATAAGAATTGTTTAAAAATCCCACAGAAATAGAAACCAAAAATTACACTTCAGAATAATTAATGGATTGCCCTGGCCAGTTTGGCTCAGCGGTTAGAGCGTCAGCCAGCGGACCAGAGAGTCCCAGGTTCGGTTCCCGCTAAGGGCATGTACCTCGGTTGTGGTTTGTGCCTGGCCCCAGTTAGGGTCCTGTGGGTGGGAACCACTTGATGTGTGTCTCTCACGTTGATGTTTCTCTCTCTCTCTTCACCCCACTTTCCCTCCCGCTCTACCTGAAGATAAATGCAAAAAAATGTCCTCGAATGAAAATTAAAAAAATAAAAAATTAATGGGTCAAATAAATAATTATAATGAAAATATTAAATTTGTAAAACTAAACAAGTGACAACAAAATTCTACAAATAAAAAATTGAGGTTTTTTAAGAGGGAAATTTATAGTATCAAGGCATGTGTTAAACAAAGACTAAAAATTAATGGGCAAATCATTTAACTCAAAATTTAGAAAAGATAGAATAAATTCAATAAAGTAAAATTAATTTTTAAAAGGGTATACATTTATTAAATAGAAAATTAAGCACTGGTTTGAAAATTGACAAACTATGGCAACATTGATAAAGACATAGAAGAAATATGCAAGTAATATTAGGAAGAAATAGGGACTTTAACAATAGAAGAATATAGGTTGTAAAAATCATAAGGATCTTTATGTCAGTAAATTTGAAAATTAGAACAATTTTTTTCTAGAAAAATATAAATGACTAAAATTGAATTAAGAAACATAAACAACCTGGATATACTTGTAATCATTAAGTATTTTAAATTAGTAGTCAAAATTTTACCCATTGTATTGTTTATCATTTATTATATAATAAATATTTATTATTTATTAGGGTTCTTCAGAGAAACAGAACCAAGAGAATATGTGTGTATACTTATTAATTATAAGTAATTGGTTCACATAATTATGAAGGCTAACAAGTTACAAGATCTGCAGTTAGCAAGAGAGAGACTCAGGGCGACCTATGTGTAGTTACAGTCTGAATCCAAAGGCCTATAAAATAGGAGCGCTGACAGTATAAGATTTGTTCTGAAAACCATCAGGCTAAAGACCCAAGAAGAGCTGATGGTTTAATCCAAGGTAGGAAAAGACTAATGTCTCAGCTCAATCAGTTAGGCAGGAAGAGTTTCTTCCTACTCAGTCATTTTGTTCCAGTCAGTCTTCAACTGATTGGATGAGGCTCATCCACATTAGAGAGGGTGATTTGCTTTACTCAGTCTGCCAATTCAAATGCTAATCTCATCCAGAAACAGCCTCACAGACACACCCAGAATAATGTTGTCCAAATATCTGGACACTCTGTTCCCAGCTGAGCTGACATATAACATGAACAATTATTTATTTTATGCATAGTATTATTTATGTGTACAAAATCTAATATAACATAGAAAAACTTAGGTCAAACAAGGGACTTCAGCCAAGTCTGGGGACATTGGATCAATATAAAATAGGCAGTATTGTTTTTATACACTAGTAGTAGCCAATTAGAAAGTGTAACATAAAGGAAAATTATATTACCAAATAAAAGACCCCAAATAGCCTCAGCGATCTTGAGAAAGAAGAGCAAAGTTGGAGGGATCACAAAGGCAGATCTCAAACTATACTACAAAGCCATTGTAATCAAAACTGCTTGGTACTGGCACAAAAACAGGCATATAGATCAATGGAACAGAACAGAGAACCCAGAAATCAACCCACACCATATGGTCAATTAATATTTGACAAAGAAGGCAAGAGATTACAGTGGAGTAAAGACAGTCTCTTCGATAAATGGTGTTGGGAAAATTGGACAGGTACATGCAAAAAAATGCAACTAGACCACCAACTTACACCATACACAAGAATAAACTCAAAATGAATAAAAGACTTAAATGTAAGTTACAAAACCATAAAAAAATCCTAAAATAAAAGATAGGCAGTAAAATCTCAGACATCACAGATGGCAGTATTTTCACCAGTACATCTCCTAGGGCAAGGAAAATACAAGAAAAAATAAACAAAGGGGACTATATCAAACTAAAAAGCTTCTGTACAAAAGAAACCATCATCAAAATGAAAAGGGAACCTACTGTGTGGGAGAATACATTCACCAAAGATACATCAGATAAGGGGTTAATTTCCAAAATATATAGAGTATTCATACAACTCAACAAAAGGAAGACGATCCAATTAAAAAAGGGGCATAGGATGTGAATAGACACTTCTCCAAATAAGACATACAAATGGCCAAGAGACATATGAAAAAATGTTCAATATCACTAATCATCAGAGAGATGCAAATTAAAATGACAATGAGATATTACATCACACCTGTGAGAATGGCTACTACCAATAGATCAACAAACAACAGGTGTTGGTGAGGATGTGGAGGAAAGGGAACCCTGTGCACACTGTTGGTGGGAATGCAGACTAATGCAGCCACTATGGAAAACAGTATGGAATTTCTTCAAAAACTAAAAATGGAACAGCCATTTGACCCAGTGATTCACAGACACACTTCTGGGAATATATCCTAAGAATTCTGAAATACCAATCAGAAAGAATATATGCACCTCTATGTTCATAGAAGCATTATTTACAATAGTTAAGATCTGGAAACATTTCAAGTGCCCGTAATTAGAGTGGATAAAAAAGCTGTGGTACATTTGCACAATGAAATCCTATGAGGCTGTAAAAAACTGAAGGAACTCTTACCCTTTGCGATAGCATGGATAGATCTGGAGATTATTATGCTAAGTGAAATAAACCAGTCAGAGAAAGACAAATATCACAAGATCTCACTTATATGTGGAATCTAATTAACGAAATAAACTGACAAACAAAATAGGACCAGATGGGCAAATAATAATTTTTATAATTGTGATTATAATTGGATAAAGCTATAATAAAGTTTCAACTGTATCTATAATACTTAATCTCATTTGAAAAAAGATCTGGGTCAAGCACGATAAAAATAACATCTAAGAAATCCAGATGTTTAAATAAACTTTTGATGCATCATTCTTTGTAATATTTTGTATTTATAAACATCTTATTAAACATATCTTTGATGAAATCTGTTTAAATATTTGCAACAGAAGCAAATGTTTTGACTATTAAGATGGATCCACACAAACTAGTTTTCATTATATTTATTGACCTTAGGAACTAAGTTTGAGGCAAAAAAAGACCATAATAAGAACAGTTTGCTCCCTGTGCAATGTGGTTTTCATCCCCACCTCTCTTGGTCCTAGAGAGAGATTTCTCATAGAGAGGGAATTTTGCTCTTTGGAGGACCAGTGATCACAAAAACTTTATGTTTGAGTTTATTCAGAGGACACCTGGTTGTCTAGGATGATAGCTCCAATAATTCATTAATTCATCCGCTGAAACATATTTACTGGACATCTATTTTGTTTGGTTCTGGAGACATACAATCAAACAAGCCATGTGAGGCAGATGTGAAAGAAATGATCTCTAGTGCAGTGAAATTTTTATTGTTTTAACAGCTGTTATCCTAGTTTCTCTCAAGGAGTTAATTGTGCTTGACAAATTACTGTAAGTGCCTTTAATTAGGAGATATCCTTAGCAAAACAACAAATAAATAAAAGCTCTTCTCCATGAGAAAATGTGAATTCCTTCTTAAAAGGGGAGGGTGAGGTGCATAGATTCAGGTACAAGAATAGAGGGCTGAGCATGGAAAAGATAGGAGAGGAACACCACCAAGGCAGCCAAAAGCTAGATACTGAAAAGAATAAAGGGACCATAAGTAGCCCTTTGTTATCCAAAACAAATTTTAAGGTAGGGAATAAATATTACAAAATTTTCATGTGTTTTTCAGAATAGCACAATATAATCCCTCGCTATAATGCCCATATATTCAGTAAACTGTTATAAGGACAAATACTTTAAGGGAGGGATATTTTTGTACAAATTGGAGACACAGCCTAGGTTCCTATTTGGGTCAGGGATGTCAAGAACAGAGACAACACACAGTAGCTGGAGCCCAGAGGTCAAGTTAACTATGAGCATGGATTTTTTTCAGAAATATGCAGGGAAAGGTTTAGGATTCCCATTGCCTGAAAAATTGGAGGTATTAGCCAACATTATCTAGATCTCAAG